CCCCCCCCCCGATTGAAGGGATTCCTCCCCCCCGCCACTTTCTCCGCTTCTCTCTCGGCTTCGCACTATCTCCTCTTGTGGATGAACTCAAGGGAGGCTCTGCCCGGAGACCGATGACGATGCAGAAGGGAGAATTCCCATTGGTCCCTCCGCTTTTCTGGGCCCTCCCAATTCCGAAGTTCGAGGGAAACGCCCCCGCCAGACCCACCGATTCCGCCTCTGGGGCTGGGAGCCTCCGCGTCCTTCTCCCCTCTCTCTGGGGGCGCTGGTGGGGCGGCCTCCATGGACTCTGTTGGGGTCCCTCTTTTGTTGCTGGTGGGGGCGCTGGCCCGGATCCCCGGAAGCGAAGGGGGGAAGGAGACGCCCGGTAAGGAGGGGGCTCGTAGGGGGAGGAGAGGGGCTGGGAGGGGCCGTCAGAGCTCCTGGGAAGGGGGGAAGAAAGGGGCTGGGACCCCAGTAGTGGGAAAAGGGGTCGAGGGCAAGAGAGGCGGGAGACTGCAGGAGCCTCGATCTCCGCGTGGTCTCCGCCCCTCCCTCGCCTCATTCCCCCCCCCCGCAGGAGAATAGGGATCCCCCCTTCCCTGGTTGTGGCCGAGGTGAGCGGGGGTCCCGGGAAGGCAGCCGATGTGGGATAAGAGTCAGCCTGACCCCTCTCTCGCCCCCCCCGTGGCTGGGTGGGAGGGGGACCTCGAGGACCCAGAATTAGCGCCTGAGCCCCGAAGTTTCTTGCACTGAAAGAGAAAGCAGACCGAAACCGAAAGTGTAAGAGGGAAACTGAGGCACTTTCAGACCTGAATTCACAAATGCCATCAAATGTATAAGAAAAAGAGGGGTTTTTTTTGGCAAAAGTGTTTTTGCAATCTCAGTTTTTCTTCTGAATCTCCATTTTTTTAAGAGGAGGGGAGAGTTGAGCTGGATTCCTTCTTGGGGGAGACTCTGAATTTGGGGAGGAGACCCAGAACCCCCCACCCCATATTCCCCCATTGCTGAATCGGGACCTGGAGGGGAGGGGGGAACTGAGGGAGAAGGAGATTGGGTGGGGTCTGAATTGCTTCCCTAAATTGGCTACTCAAAACGATTTCTTTGGTGAGGGGGGCTGGAGACCCTCCCTTTGAGGCGGTCTTGGGGGGCTGCAGGGTGACAGAAAAGAGGGCTGAATCCCCAAATCACGCAAAGGCAGCCAGTAGGAGTTAATTTGGTGGGAAGGAAAATTTGGGGGATAACTAGGGAATCTGGGGGTTCCCTTCTCCCCAGGATCCACGGCCCCCCCAAGCCGTCTAGATCAAAATTGAGCAGCCCTCCCTCAACAGAGGGGGAGGGAAAGGACCCCCTATCTTCTGCCTACAACGGGGTCCTTTCAGCAGCCCCAGGAAGTCTCCCCACCCCTTTGCCCCCCCAATTCAGGGGACTCTGAGGGCCCAGATAAACCCCTGGGGGTCCGCAAGGCCCCTCAGAGAACCAGTGACCGGCTTTCAAAATGACCGCAAGGAATGTTCGTCCTTCCACCCTCCACCCTTCAGTCAGAACTGAAGAAGCTTCTGGGAGGAGAAGCGAAATGTCTTCAAGGGAAAACCCAGGAAAGTCCAGCTGCCTTTTGGAAATGCCCCTTTGGGCCAAGCGAGACCAGGAGGGGGGAGACTCTCCGGAGAGACCCCCCCCGGCTCCCCTTGGCCCTTCCGAAGTCTCCGCTGACCCAGCCTGGACTCCTCATGGGGGCCTTAAGGGAGCTTAAAGGGGCATCTAGTCCACCCCTCCAGGCACAGAGAGAAAGGGGGACTGTAGTTCAGATTCATGGGAGGGGTGCAAAAGGAAGTCTACAACCCCCCCCCCAGACACCCCTCTAAAGATGCAGCCTCCAAGACTGAAAATTTTCCCCTCCCTCACCTTCTCTGCTTCTATTGGGAGGGACATTGGGGGGGGGGTCTGAGTTGCTCCTCCAAACTGCCCCTTTAGTGAAGGGGGCTGGGCCCCTCCCTTTGAGGTGGCCTGGGGGGGCTGCAGGGGCGTCTATTAGGGAGGGGGACAGGAAAGAGGCCACGGAAATCATCCAAAGGCACCTTGTGGGGCTGAAGATGGGGGGAAGAGGAAAAGGGAAGGGGGGCTTGAAGGGCGGGGACAGCCCAGAAGCATGGGTGTAGGAATCCTTATTGTGACCCCCCTCCCCTTATGATCCCCCAAAGGAAGAGGGAGAGGATCTTACTTTCCCTCCAGCCCAGAGACTTCCTGGGGGGTGGGGGTCTCCTCCCTCCCCGCATAAGTCCTGCCTTTTTGGGGGGGGGCAAAGAGGCCCCACCGGGATCCCACGTTCCCTGCAGACAGGTAGACCGAGTGCTGGACCAGCTGAACTTCTGCCTGCCTTTTTCCACCCTCGGGAGAAGGGGGCGGTCCCTTAGGAAGCTCCTCCCCTCCCTCATTTTCCTCCCCCCTCCAGATCCCCCACCAAGGGGGAATCCCGCTGGGACCGACGGTTCCCCAACCCTCCTCCAGGGGGCGCCTTCCGGCAGCCTCTCGCGGCAAGTCTCCCTCCCCTCCTCTGACAAGCCCGGGTCCCTCCTCTAGGAGAGGCTGAGGACCATGGGCCCTGGAGTCCCTCCTGACGCCCCCCCTCCTCCTCCTCCTCCTCCTCCTCCTCCTCCCCGCAGCCCATTTCCTGGTCCAGTGGAAGTCCGAGTGCCATTTCCTCAACGGGACGCAGCGGGTGCGGTTCCTGGACCGGTACTTCTACGACCGGCAGGAGTTCGTCCGCTTCGACAGCGCCCGCGGGGAGTTCGAGGCCGTCACGGCGTTGGGGAAGGCGGATGCGGAGGCTTTCAACAGAGATAAGCACCAGCTGCAGTACCGGAAGGCCCAAGTGGATCGCTTCTGCCGACACAACTACGAGGTTGCCCAGAGCATTTCTGCGGTTGGCCGGAGAGGTGAGTGCGGGAGGGGGAGTTCCGGGGGGGGGGGAATGCAGGGACCCCCCCCCCTTTTCATGTCATTTATTAGGACTCTCCCGAAGAAAGATTTGCCCCTCTCAAGCTTCCTCCTTCCCTTATATTCTCAAGATGGACAGTGTTTAATATTTATTCGTTATGTATATGTAGGGGTGTGGGTCTGTACATATGTTGTATGTAGTATGTTTTTAGGGTGTGTCATGTATGTCTTTCACTTTGAGAGCGGGCAACTAAATTTCATTTTTGGTGTGTGCCGTTGTGCCCACAGTAAAAAATGACAGTAAAGGTTATCTTATCTTATCTATTCTCCGCTCTCAGATCTATGAAATTTACTCATTGGTATTTATTGATATTTATTGATACTCCTAAACCGCCCCCCTCCCTCCCTCAAAGCGGGGATCTGGATGGCGTGGGATATGACATCACCCCTAAATAAAAATGTATAACAACTAAGGTTAAAAAATAAATTACAGTTAAAAAGTTTGA